ACCAAATTCATAGGTCTATGATGGGGATTAGTGAGCAAACATTTGCCAAAGACCCTAGCACAATGCCTGACCCGTAGTAAGTCCTCAATAAGTGACACTCATTACTGTTAATAATGACCTTAGTTTTGTGTAAGGAATTTAAAATATGCACCTTTCACAGTAGGGGGCAGTGGTGGTTCAGCGGTAGAATTCTTGCCTTCCATGAGGGAGAACCTGAAACGAAACCAAACCTGCTGCCATCAGTCTAATCCGACTCATAGAGACCCTATAGAAAAGAGTAGAACTGCCCCATAGGGTTTCCAAGGCTGTAATCTTTATAGAAGCAGACTGCCACATCTTTCTCCCATGGAGCAGCTGATGGGTTTGAACCACCAACCTTCTGGTTAGCAGCCGAGCCCTTAACCACCATGCCACCAGGGCTCCTCTCCATGTGGGAGATCCGGGTTCAACTCCTGACCAATGCACCTCAAGCACAGCCACCACTCATCTGGCAGCCGAGGCTTGCATATTGCTGTGATGCTGAACAGGTTTCAGCAGAACCTCCAGACTAAGTCAGACTAGGAAGAAAGGCCTGGTGGTCTACTTCTGAAAAATCAGCCAGTGAAAACCCTATGGATCACAACGGTCTGATCGTGTTGTGCATGGGGCCACCATGAGTCAGGGCTGACTTGACAGCAGCAAACAACAATAAATTTCACATTAGTCTGCAATTAACACCATGATTTCCAGGGGCTTTGCTTGTATCCAGTCATAGGTCCCTAAAGGTTGGCAGTTTGCACCCACCCAGCGGCACCACAGAAGAAAGGCCTGGTAATCTGCTTCCGTAAAGATTAAAACCAAACCTATTGCCATCAAGTCGACTCCAACTCATAGTGACTCTATGGGACAGAGTAGAACTGCCCTATAGGGTTTCCAAGGCTGTAATCTTTACAGGAGCAGACTCTCATATCTTTCTCTCACGGAGCAGCTGGAGGATTCAAACTGCTGAGCTTTCTGTTAGCAGACAAGGACTTAACCACTGTGGCATCAGAGCTTCTCCGTAAATATTACAGCCAAGAAAACCCTATGTAGTACAGTTCTACTCTGTAATGCATGGGGTCGCCAAGAGTCAGAATCAACTTGAAGGTAACGGGCTTAGTTTGGTTTGCTTGTAACCTAGCCATTATGTATAGGCTAGGTTATGCTGCAATAACAAACAACCACAAAAACCCAGTGGCTTCCAACAGCAAAGCTTACTTACTTCTTGCTCACGCTACATGTCCATCATGGGTCAGCTACAGTCCTGCTCCTTGTTTTCCCTTCTGGACCTGGAATGATGGAGCAGCCAGTCTCTGGAACGTTGCTGGTTGTCATGCTAGAGCAAAAGGGTCTTACATCAGCATTAAGCGCTACAGCTTAGAAATGACACATATTATTTGCATTCAAAACACATTGGTCTGAACTGGCTACACAGTCTCACCCAGGCATAAGGAGGCTGGGAAATATAACCCCACTGTGTGCCTAGAAGTAGGGAGAACTAGAAAATGTGGCCGATGGTTCTAATGACTCCACAATGCTTTTGGAAATCACTGCCAAGACTAGAAGGATAGAGGCTCAGCTAGATGGTGGGAGGAAGGCAGGAGCCAGGGGGGAAGAGGAGGACAGATTGGGGCCCAGTATGGAGTACAATCCTAGGTCAGTGTGCAGGGCTGAGGCAGAGGGACCCTGGGGGCCTTTCTCATCTGGACTGGGACCCAAACAGACACCAGACCATTCTGTTCTGCAGGCTAACAAGCCAGCCCTGGAAGGAGGTGGGAGCCACGGGCTCTCAACATGGGTGGTGATGCGCTTTGTAACCCGTGTTTCCCTGGTGCTCCAGTTTATGAGCAAAACAGAGTCACACAGCAGCATCGCTCTGGCTTCCTGCCTCCTGCTCTGTGGGCTTCCAGGACTTATCCAATTTTTCTTTTTTTTAAGGATTACCCAAGTTTTGTAAATGGTTTGGGGAGCCCCCAGCAGCATCTCTGGTGTGCTCTCACTGGGGCCCCTCGGCTCCTTCCTGGGGCAGCCATGTGCCTCTCCCTGCTCTGGCTTTTCACAACTCAGGTTACTAATGACAGCAAAAGCAGCAGCTCTGCCAGCACTGTCCTCCAAGGTCTCCCAGGGGATGCAGCTGTGTACTGATGTCTGGGCCAACAACACCAGCTCCTGTCCCTGCTGAGGCTGCTGATCACGTCCCACGCTCCCACTGCCCAGATCGCCCAGTGCAGCCCTTGCCAGCGGCTTCAGCATGAGCCCAAGAGGCTGGCAGTGCAGTCTGATCAGCTTCCATTAAGACCCATGCTGGCCTTACAGTTCTACTCTTTTCTATAGGGTCACTATGAGTCAGATTAGACTGGACAGCAGTGGGTTTGGTTTGGTTTCGGGTTCTCCCTCATGGAAGGCAAGAATTCTACCGCTGAACCGCCACTGCCCCTACTGTGAAAGGTGCATACTTTAAATTCCTTACACAAAACTAAGGTCATTATTAACAGTAATGAGTATCACTTATTGAGGACTTACTACGGGTCAGGCATTGTGCTAGGGTCTTTGGCAAATGTTTGCTCACTAATCCCCATCATAGACCTATGAATTTGGTATTACTGTTCTGTTTAGTATTATTAGTCTCATTGGACAGATCAGGGCACTGAGGTTCCAGTGGATTAACGGTCATGCCGATAGCCAGTAAGTGGTGGAAGTGAGATTCAGATGCAGCGGTCTCTGACTCCAAACCCTCCACCCTTCCACAACTAAGCTGTCATTATATATAAAGCAGAACTAGGCAGATAAAGAAAAAAAAAAAAACATACATTTAAAAAGAAATTGCCTCTTAACAGGAAAAACATTAACATCTGCCTTTTTACTAGATCGAATGTGAAAGTTGATCCAACAGGCTGAACAAAGACGCCTGCTATCTGGTGTGATGTTTGACAGCAGAACCTTCATTCATTTTCTGCTCTGATGGGGCTCTCTACAAGATAGGCATCAGCAGGCACCAAAGGGCTAAGAAAAATTTAAAGAGGTGATTTTGTTCATCACTTGAAATGTTTATGAAGAAATTGGGACAGAGTTTGTATTATGTGTGTTTTGCAACGGGGGAGAGAAGACTCCAAAGGCCCCATTTGCTTACCTGGTCCCCGTGCCTCAGAAGCCCTCTGCTCACTCCTAACCTGCTAACCTTTGATGATTCAGTTCAACAGTCATGGCATCGGAAGCCCTCCATGTGCCGCCAGGCTGGGCCCTGTCACTATGATGTAGGGAAATGATCTGGGTATGTGCGCTCTCTCTCCCTAGACATAAAGTCCTTGACGGCAGTTGTTGTGGATAGGTGCCATCAAGTCTGTTCCAACTCATAGCAACCCTGTGTACGACAGAATGAAAAACTGCCTGGTCCTGGGCCATCCTCACAATTGTTGCTATATTTGAGCCCATTGTTGCTGCCACTGTGTCAGTCCATCTTGTTGAAGGTCTTCCTCTGTTAGTTACTAACTTTCTGCTTTACCAAGCATGGTGTCCTTCTCCAGGAACTGGTCCCCTCTGATAACATGTCCAAAGTATGTGAGACAAAGTCTCGCCATCCTTGCTTCTAAGGAGCGTTCTGGATGTACTTCTTCCAAGACAGATTTGTTTACTCTTCTGGCAGTCCAGGGGATATTCAGTATACCAATGCATCTCATGTGCTGCCACCACCCCGTCTATCAGTAGAGGCTTGTGTGTTTCTACAATGCTGAACAGGTTTCAGTGGAGCTTCTGGACTAAGACAGACTAGGAAGAAAGTCCTGGCACTCCGCTTGAGAGAATCAGCCAATGAAAACTCTATGGATCACAGTGGTCGCATCCCCAACTCATCATGGGAATGATGTAGGATCAGGCAGCGTTTTGTTCCCCGGTGTGTGGCATTGCCCTGAGTCGGGGCCGACTTGATGGCAGCTGACAACATCAACAACAAAGTTCGTGGTGATTTGTTAGAGCCGCAACAGGAAGCAAATACTCCTTCCCCATCAGTGCCCTAATTTTCACTTCACAAATCTAGTGAAGGCTGAGTTCATCATGAGAATCAGAAATCTGCAGAATCAGTCTCTGAATCTGGTTGTTATCGGAGAGTCTTTCAGTTGAAAACATCAACAGCCAGAATTTAGTTCATGCCTTGAGGGGAATTTTGAAGATTTCCGCCAGGCGTTTGTCAGTAGCCTTAGAAACAACCATTCTGCTCCTGTCCCAGAGTTCCTCATTCCCTTTTCACTGCTCGACAGGCCCCCCCTAGCTAGAAAGGTGAGGAAAGGGGTTTCACCACTGCCTTGTCCTGCACCTTGGCCAGAAAATCAATTTCTAGTATACAAATCCTCTTGACAGTCTGTTGTCTGCAGCCTACTCTTTGGTGCCAATTTCTCTGTTAAATAAGATCCTTTGGTTGTGAGCAAGCAACAATAACAAAATAAAACAAAGACCAGAGCAAATACTAGAACAAAAACAAAACATCCTACGGCTAACTCATGAATAGAGGTAGTTATTGGATTGGAATGATCCAGAGAGAAAGCTCCTGGAATTACAAATGCACAGGCATGAGTGCTTGCAAGCGCACGCTTGCGCACGCGCGCACACACACACACACACACACACACACACACACAGAGCACAAGCAGACACCTGTGTGAAGGCACCCAAGGGCACACACTTTTAAGAACAGGCTTTGGGAAGGGGATGGGCCTGGAAAACATTAGGGATCTCAGCAGCAGAAGCCCAGCTTCCCTCCAGGCCTCAGACCCACAGCTTTCTGCCTGGGAGGGTTTTAATTCAGGTGCACTTTTCCTGGGGAGAGATTCTGATTGGCCCACGGGGGACCTTATAGCCATCATCCAACGCCCTGGAATAGGGTACATAAGGGCAGGGCACCAGGGGGAATTGTCATTTAGGATCCTAATGGAGGCCTTTGCAGGGGCTTCCTCCTCATCCTTGTGGAGGGCAGTGGATGAGTAGGAGCTTTCACCCCGACCAACTCCCTTCACAGTATCTGCTCACAGGAGGAGGAGGAGCTGAGAACCTCCTGGGTTGGCCCCTGAAGTCAAGGAGGACCTGTTTCACTAGTGGGTGATGTTTTACAGCGTGTTTTACTCAAAAGCCCAGACTCCCTCCTCATCTCTACCGTGTGGATAGACAAGTGGATCAAGGCCTTCCCTTCCCTTCCCTACCAAGGGCTCCTGTGAGTTTCCCTTTCTTCCTTCTTTTCATTCCCAGACTCCCACAGGGTTTCGCTTCTTCCCAGTTCCTCCCTGGCTCGTCTCATGCTGCCCTGTCTGTTCAGTTCTCTATGGCACCTGGCTGGGGAAGGTTGGATGACCACCCTTGCCCCGAGGCCAGTCGGGTAAATGGTTGTCATTGGCTCCACCAACCCAGACACTTAGATTCTTGAGGACGGAGAGAGAAGCCTGTCCTAGCTTCCAGGCCTGGTTTTCGCTCCAGGACAGATGACCAGAGAATTTCTGAACTGGGGTTGGACGAGGGGAATTCATTGGGTGTTTCCCCAACATTAGACTTTTATTTCTTTCCATGTGTGTATTGTGGAGCCCTGGTGGTACAGTGTTTAAGCGCTCAGCTGCTAACCAAAGGCTGGCGGTTCAAACTCACCCAGTGGCTCTGTGGGAGAAAAGACCTGGTGATCTGCTTCTGTAAAGATTACAGGCTAGAAAACCCTATGGAAGAGTTCTAATGTGTCAGATGGGGCCGTTACACAACAAGAGTGTCTTACGTAACCCTCTAGGGTTAGTTCAGTTATTCAGCACCTACTATGTGCTCGACATTGAGCTGGCACTAGGGATGGAGACACCAATGAGACCCAAGCACTGACTCCAGGAGCTTCCTTAATCATCAAACAATGCAATGCCTGCGTGTGGAGGTGTGACCTGAGTGCTGTAGAGGCAGGAAGGAGGGAGCCAGTGACTGTTGGGGCAGGAGGCTCTTCACACAGCTGCCAAAGCTTTTGTTTATTCAATCATCACAAGTGCTGAGCATCAGCCAGGCCCCTTGCCAGGTGCTGAGAGTACAAGGCAGTAGAAGACAGGTGTCCCTGCAGAGGCCAGAAGGAGAGGAGGGAAGGAAGGCTTTTCTCTGAGAAGGGATGTGGCATCTACCTGAATCAAGGAGTGCAGGGGAACAGCAGGCTGCACGCCGGTGCCCCGGGCTGCCTCGTTTGGCCGGCAAGGCTTCTAGGGACGATTGCACCCTTCTAGGTGGGACACAGCTTTTCCAGTGCACCCTAGTTCTCCAATAGCAACCTGGCCCACCTGTGAGCAGGTTCCACTTCAGTTCCTGGGAAGGGAGCCACAGGAGAGGTAGGTG